ATATATACATATATATGTAATAGATATATGTTTTTTATTTATATATGTATAAATTTTGAGACAGGGTCTCATTAAATTGCCCAAGCTGGGATTGAATTTGTGATCCTCCTGCTGAACCTCCCAGAGTGCTGAGAATACAGGCATGGGCCACCACACCCAGCTAGGATAGTAGGTTTGAAATAGGACACCAGTCAGGGACTTTAGTGAAATCAGTATCAGATCCAGAGATTAAATCTGTGATCATTAAATTAATACTTTTTTTTTTGTACATTGTTAACGTTTCTTGTTGATGTTTCCAAAATGGCTATGGGATCTGCTTTTAGGTTCACTGGAGTCTGTGGAGGAGACAGATTTCAGTCCTCTGGTAAACTGAAGCTAGACAGTACATAGAGTATGGCAAGTGTGGAGAAGGGGTTTCTTAAAATCTAGTATGGGAACTTGGGGAATGCTCCCTGGAGAAGAGAAGATAATTTAAACTGAATTTTCAGTGATGAGTAGGTGTTAGCAAGACTACTAAGTAGTAAAGGAAACAAGCCAGGCATAGTGGCACACATCTGTAATCCCAGCACTTACTTGGGAGACTGAGGCAGGAGGATCCTGAGTTCCAGACCTGCCTGGGGTGAACGTAACCGTTGAGATGAGGAGTGACAGGGAAGGTAAGCAGGAACTGGGTCGTAAAGAGCCTTGAACACTAGTATGCTAGAGACTCTTCATTTCAAAAGTTAAGGGGAATCATTTTGAGCAGTGCAGGACCACATTAGCCATTTAAAGATCATTGCTTAAAGATTGATTCAGAGGCAAGAAGCAAAGAGACATGTTGGGAAACAATCTGGTAATCAAAGTGAGAGTTACTGGGAAAATGGTAGTCATTTCTTACTTTATATAATATTTGGCTCTATTACTCGGGGTTACAGATTCAATTTTATAGAACTGAGTTTATTATTTTGCAGAGCTGACATTAGTTGTCCAATTGTTTTTCACTCATTTATGATGTCTAAGAAGTTTATACTTTTATAAATGTTCAGTGTGGTGCTATATGGAGATAGTTAGGTATTTTGATGATTATAAAAATTAAGAGATAGTAGCCCTTTTGGTATGCTTAATGATTATCTTAGAGGGAAGGACTTTGAGAGTGTTTGGCTTTGTGGAAAGCAGTGCTTTGTTAGATTATATAATTTATTAATTTATAATCTGTGTGTTAATTTCTTTTTCTTTTTTAGGCTATTACAAAAGATGGTGGACCGCTTGGCCAACAGTGAAGCAAACACTAGACGTATAGGTATAGTGGAAAATTGTTTTGGAGCAGCTGGTCAACCTCTAACTATACCTGGACGAGTTCTTATTGGAGAAGGAGTCTTGACTAAATTGTGCAGAAAGAAGCCCAAAGCAAGGCAGTTTTTCTTATTTAATGATATTCTTGTATATGGCAATATTGTCATCCAGAAGAAAAAATACAACAAACAACATATTATTCCCCTGGAAAATGTTACTATTGATTCCATCAAAGATGAGGGAGATTTAAGGAATGGATGGCTTATTAAGACACCAACTAAATCATTTGCAGTCTATGCTGCCACTGCCACTGAAAAATCAGAATGGATGAATCATATAAATAAATGTGTTACTGATTTACTCTCCAAAAGTGGGAAGACACCCATTAATGAACATGCTGCTGTCTGGGTTCCTGACTCTGAGGCAACTGTATGTATGCGTTGTCAGAAAGCAAAATTCACACCTGTTAATCGTCGTCACCATTGCCGCAAATGTGGTTTTGTTGTTTGTGGGCCCTGTTCTGAAAAGAGATTTCTTCTGCCTAGCCAGTCCTCTAAGCCTGTGCGGATTTGTGACTTCTGCTATGACCTGCTTTCCACTGGGGACATGGCTGCATGCCAGCCTGCCAGATCAGATTCTTACAGCCAGTCATTGAAGTCTCCTTTAAATGATGTATCTGATGATGATGATGATGATAGCAGTGACTAAGGACACATTTTGAAATATTTAATCAGGTGTGACTGTGAGAAATCATTTTTGGGGGAAATGTAAAATTCTGAGTGCTCTCTCAATTTCACTCTAGCCATGACTTTGCCGAGAAACTTTGAACCTGTGTGCCTCAATATAGTCTGTAGAAAGTAGGTCCTCCCTCTTTCTCCCACTCCCCACGTTCTTCTTCAGGGATAGACTGTCGCAGATAGATAAAAGTTTTGGTTTCTTATTCTTGTTTATTTCCAGATTATTTTTTCTTGGGTTGGTGAAAATGTTTATTTAATAGATTCTTTACCACATTGTTATTTTTATTTCAGTTACATGCAAAAATTAAAAGCGCAGAAGGATGGAAACAGTATAATATGGTTAATTAATAATACTAACTTTTTTCTAATCATCCTAATGATTATAACAATGTTTTTGTCAGTAACAAAAACACTGTACATGATTTGGAAGTACTTTTTCACTTTTTTTTATATCAAGTGGTGCCTTATTGTAATAGCACTGTTACATGGAATATAAGCCCTTACTGTCTCATTTTTTTGGTTTTAAACACATTGGTACTCTTTGAAGTAATAAAATGAGTGTTTATGAATGGGTATAATTAGGAATACTCATCTGACAGCTATAAGTCACTAAATTTGGAAGGTATCTTTATTCTATATGAATAATTTTTTCCATAAAATAGTTGTGATTATGCTTTATAGGTACCAAATTATAATTGTCAAATACACACTTTAATAATAGGTTGCTGTTGTTAGGAATTTGATTGGAAGACTATCAGTTATATAGAAATGTCATACTGCATTAGCTTCTACTTTTAGTAAGATGTTTTTAGATAAAAATTCATCTGCTTTATTGCGAGAATGAAAAATCTTATAAGACCCTTGAAAGTAAATAATCTTTTACAAACTCCATGATAGAGTACTGAACTACTTCGTCTTGAAGATTTGGAAGAAATAATACATAAGAATGATCAAGGCAGACCACTTTACATTTGATTAGAATTCATATCAGTGGAAGTGTTATCCATTTCAGTATGAAACTATCTTGAATTTACAAATAGTGTTATATTTTATAAAGTTTTATAAAGACCCAATTTCTATTTTTGTAAAACAATTGTATGTTTTGTGTGTTTCTGAAATCATTTTGCAATCTATGGAGGTGGACTAGCATTTGATACTTCTAAGTCAGTCTAGATTGCTTTAGAGAAGTAATTTTCACTTTTTGCTTCTGAGGCAGCCATTAGGTTGAAAGTGTTTATCGTATAAAACTTGATGCATCTTGCACTACTGGTTCCATTTATATGCTGCAAATAACTATAATCTTTCAAATATGGAAAATCAGTGTAAATTTTAAGTTCTAATTTTTTTTAAGTTCTAAATTAAAAATCTGATTCTTTTACATATGTCATGAGGTTTCATCCAATAATGTGGTGGAAATTCTTTGGTATTTTACTGTTTGACTAAGGCACTAATTTTACTTTACTGTTAAATTTTGAAAGCACCTGAGGTATACAGATCTCTTTCTGGGAAATGTGAAAGAAAAGCACAACAGAAACTAAGGGTTATTTTATTTTATTTTATTTTATTGTGGTTGTTGCTCTTTGTTTTTGGTTGGTCTTAATAGGAGGTGGATTTTTGTTTCTAAGCAGTATATACATATAATCAATCAGCATATCTGAAAAGCTCCATAAAACCTGAGAATGCGAATGGATACTAGAGGAACCTAGCAAATTGAGAAACCAAGGGAAATGTTCTGAGATAACATGTGGCTTGTCAATCTCTGTTGACTCTTTTTATAATAAAAAATATTTTGCAACTTGTTTTCTCCACATTGTGACTCTTCCCCTTTGATAAGATAATAAAGATATTATGTATATTTTGCCTCATTATTGAATAGTTAATGAGTGCCTACTACGTGGCAGGCATTGTCCTACACAACGTGAGTATTGAACAGATGCCTCTCCTTTTGTGGAGTTTACATGCAAATAGGATCCAGGATGTGGTATCCTCCAGGCTTTAAACATTTTTTTCAAAGAGCTCTGAGAAATGTTGATTATATCACCCAAATCACTTTGGGTGATTTTTCATGTTGTTTTTCTTGAATGAAATTCATTTGGACTACCCAATGCCTTAACTGAATTGGTCACTACTTGTGTAAGGGAAGTAAGATTCTGTAGATAGAGAGGAAGAATACCAAGTTGAACATACCCTCACACAGAAATTCATACCTTTGGGTCAAGTGTGTAACATGGCCATGGTTAATATAAAAGTTATATGTTTATTAACATTATATCATAATTCTTATAAATAGGTGGTACTAAATTATATCTTACGGTTCTTGGAGATCCTCCAGTATTTGATCTATAATCTCCTTTCTCTTAGGTACATTGACTTCATTTTAAAATAAATGTGACTTTAATCAGTATAATAATATCTACATATCTGCATGTATTTCACTGCTATACACTTAATAAGTAAGATTTGTCATATTTGGGATGAAAATACAGCAAAACCTTGGATTGTAACTTGTTCTGTGAATGTTGCTCAAGATGAGCAAACATTTCTCATCAGTTTTAACTTGATAAATGAGCAGTGTCTTGCAGTGTGAGTAGTACGAAGCACAACTGAGCCAGTGGTTCTCTCTCGCCCTCCCTCAGCTCTCACGCTCCCCTCTCCCCTACCCCCCCCTCCCGTTTCTCTCTCTCCTTCTCTCTCTTGTGTGTGTATGTGTGTCTCTCTCTCTGTCTGGGTCATCATCTCAGCAACAAGAAGCAACAGAAGAGACCTTCTCTGCGGAGAAAGGCGTCAAAGGATCCCTCACTTCAGATGAGATTAGGGAGATGTGTAGAATGTGGGCAACAGTGCAAAATTTTGTACAAAAGCACCACCTGATTAAGGTTATAGCAGTGGGAGCAATGAATCTTTTTTTTGTTTTTTTTTAGACAGGGTCTCACTAGGTCAGGTTGTCCTTGAACTTGTATGTATCCCAGGCTGACCGTGAACTCTCAGGGATCCTTAGGCCACAGCCTCCTGAATGCTGGGGTTACAAATGTGCACTACCAGGCCTGGCAGTGAATCCTTCTTTTGTTTCAGTTTTTTTGAGACTGTCACCATGCAGTTCAGGCAGGCCATGAAGTCCCTAAATAGCCCAGGCCGGCCTCTTAATTCATGGCAATCCTCATAGTAAGTAGGAATGTAAATTGGTACAGCCATTAAGGAGAGTACTATGGAGGTTCTGCAAATAATAAGTGTAGTGGCACATGCCTATAATCCCACCTACTCTGGGAGGCCAAGGCAGAAGGATTGCAAGTTCAAAGTTAGTCTATACGATTTTAGCAAGGCCCCGTCTTAAAGTTTAAAAAGGTCTGGGGAGGCAGGTCACACTCTGAGCACTGGGCTATTGTGTAAGGCCTTGGGTTCAATTTGTAGTGCTGAAAAACAAAAACTAGACTTGCCATATGATCCAGCAGTCCCACTACTAGGTATCCACGGGGTATGAAATAAGCATAGCCAAAGAAATATGTGCGTTCATATTCTGTGAAGTATTACAACTGCCAAGATACTGGATCAATTTGTGTTCATCAAGGAATGAATGGATAAAAAATACTATTCTCAGCTTTTAAAAAGAACAAAATCTTGTTTGTAAAAACGGATGTCCCTGGGGGATGTTATGTTAAGTACCTTCTGCCATTGCCACTCCACCTGCTCGGACTGGGTCCCTTTGCACCTGGTACCTCTGCGCAGATGCTTGCCCTGCTTTTGGCTCACTCTGTGACTTTGGGACTGAATTGTTTGGAAAGCAGAAAGAAGGGTAATACCCATAGTACTGAATGTGTGATGTTTTTATTTTTTTGTCTTTTTTTTGAGATAAGATTTCACTATGCAGTTGAGGCAGGCCTTCAATTCACTTTATAGCCCAGCCTGGCCTCAAACTCAAAGCAATCCTCCTGCCTCAGCCTCCTGAGTGCTGGAATTATAGGCATGCACCACCATGCAAGGCATGAATGTGTGATACTAGAGAGAGGAGGATGAGGGAGGAAAAAAGGAAGAGCAAGCAGAATACCTTTTTAAGAGAAACTCATTTAGCAGCATCTACAAATGACAGATAAAATTAGAACTCAAACTGCTGTGGCTGAGAGAGTTGGAGCCCCTAGCACCGGGGCCAGCTCGTCTCTGCTGGTCCTAACTCCACCTTGTCAAGGCCCAAGGGATTTGAAGACCGCTGCTTTAAACCAA